CCCCCTCCCCCTGCCCCCAGCTCTGTCCACTTTTGTCAGCGCTGGGGTTCATTGAAATGTGGCTCACTTGGTTTTAATGAGCTGCACTCTGAGGCTCGACAGCGATTTCGGCACGTGGTGGCGCCGCCCATGAGGGGGCGCTCATTCGCTCACGCGGATACTGACGTCGCCCATCTGTTCAACAAGCCAGACGGACGTATGCAGAATCGCCACAAATACACCCAATTGCATGCATGTTTGTTGCGTCTTTTACACAGAACAAAAACCGCTAGCGAGCAAATCACTGCTAACAAATAGCTGTTCCAGTGCTAAACAGGAACAAACAAAACCAAACAAAAAGGAATATCATTACGATGACATTTTTCATTTTATCCATCGTTTTTAAACTTCAAATGGAAACTGGTCCTCCTGTTTTCCCGTAACGCCTGCTAATATTCGACAAGCCCTCTGTTGCCATTGGTTACGATAAATGTGGGAGATGCCTGCTGACAGCTGATTGGTGTTTTGTGTCATGCAGATCCACCCCTGGTCAATCTGTCTGTGGAGCCCCAGCCAATCATGGAGGGGAACATGGTCAAATTCCACTGCTCCGCCAAGGCCAATCCCCCTGTCACCCAGTACAGGTGAGATCTCTCCTCCACACATGCTTCCCTCTCTCCTCTCAACACGGGCGGACGGACACACACGCACTGACACACGCGTGCACTAAATACGCGATTTCTGAATTTCACACACGCTTCACCTCCCACACTCATCTGCTCTGCGAAAATATGGACAGCTTGTCAAATTTAACGCCTTCACTGAGTCTTCAGTAATGTTCCCGTACGTGGTCTGCCATTGGTGTACATTGATGGCGGGAACTTTGATGATGTCACCATAACTGTAATGACCACCTCAGACTCTCAGATAAATTAAATAAATAAATTTCTCGACCTGGTACTGGGGGGTCCCCAGACAGTCCACGTGTTCACTCCCTCCTTGCTGGGGGTCCTCAGGGACCGGGTTGAAAAACACTGTTTTAGATGACAACGGATAGCAAGGGATACTCCAATCCATACCCTTCAGAGACGCTCGTTTAGCGATTGCTTGTGCGTGCAAGTGCAAGTCTCCTCAGCACTTCCTGTTAGAGGATGGTCTTGTTTAAACTGGCAATCGCAGACTGATGCCCCCCCACCCACCCCCCCTGCCAGAAGGCAGTGCCGCCATCGCCTGTAATTATATCTCAATCACGCCCCAACACTCACGGCGCCTGGCACGCCACCCCCAGCCCCTTTCATTTCGCTGTGCCGCGGGGCGCCCCGGGAAGCCGCCTCTATTCCGCTTGACAGGCACAGAACGGCGCGGTTTGTTCTGCCAGGGGCAATCCCCCCACCGACACCGACGTCCGTCACGACTGGGACAGAATGATGCGTATTAGCGAGCGAGTCGGATTACGGGGCTGTTTACTATGAACGGCAGGTGTTTCCCGGCAGAGGTCAGACTCACCTGTTGCAGCTGTCAGTGGATCAGGGTGCAGGAGTGTCTACAGGACGACGTGAGGTGGCTTCCTGTGCAGACAGGATGTTGCACATTAGGAAATGGAGCCTCACCGTGAAACGTATGAGTCATGGCCGGCTGTAAGTGCCGCTCCAAGATCCTGTTGATACATGGGCAAAATAGAATCAAACAAATACTTTTAAAACAGCGTTTTCAATGAAAGGAAACTGTCACATATGCAAAGACTATATAATGATAATCATGTGACGATATTACTTCAATACTGTTTAAATCCTGAAATGTATTTGATGTTTCCGGAATAGATAATGCCACAGATGTTTCCAAAACATTATTACGTTCGTGCCGGGGGAGCAAGAGCAGAACACGACGAATCGGGTAAACGGGGCTTTATTTTGGGAAACACCAAAACACAGAGCTGAAATGCATACAGACGTCAATGACCAGACAGGGGTAAGACAGACATGGAAGCACTAAATACACAGAATCAATTAACAACAACTAGACACAGCTGAGAACACCGGGATTCCACACGAGGTAACAAGGGGGCGTGGCACACAGGAGGACTGGACGAGCAGGTCATGACAATTATACCACTGAGAATGTTATAACTGAATTCATAATTAGAATGCTTCAGATTTTAAAAGTTGTTAATGAATATCTAGGCAGGACTTTGACAAGAAACCGTAGACAACAGCTGATATCAATTAAAAATTTTACTTGTATTTTTCTTGTGTAAGATTTTAACTATAAGCAGTAAAAGTAAAATTGTAAAATTGAAATAAATACTAAATGTTTAGTTTAAAACAGATTGATACAGATTGAAATTAGGAGACCACTGTATATTTTTAAACAAATCTGCATTTTTAAATCCTGGTTTAATCCTGGTTCTGCTGGCGGAAGGCTACACTGTGAGGCAGCCTGCTTCCAGGCTCAAAATCTTCTAAGGCAGCAGTAAATAAGAATAAGGTGAAGCAGGAGACACTGGGGACGACCAGAAACCAGCCAGGTAAAGGGGCGTGACTTTCTTTTAAAGTGACTTTCTAATGCCAGAGATGAATGTCAACTTATCCGACAGTTTCTCATCAATTGTAGGATGACATCGAGTGAATTTCATAAAGAATGGGAAACATTAAGTGCAGGCGTGAAGTGCACTGCTAGGACAGTGTGTATCAGGCTGCCAGAAGCAGGATTGAAGTCCCATAAAGCAACCAGGCTGCAGTTTGCTATATATATATATATATATAAAATTTGACCCCGGACTGTAGAGGATGCTATACGCTATACAGTACACCCCTCTAATAACGACAGGAATGGCACAGTCCGGCCACAGTCACATTTATGGCTGTGCACAATTTACACCAGCTCCGGACTCAGCATGACTGATACTCACCACCCCCGACGAAGTTCCTTCATAACCTGGCTTTTAGAAGGACTCATTAAGGATTTGGGGGGGGGGGGCGGATTGGTGTTAGGACAAACCCTCATCACCCTCCCTGTAATGGCTCCATCTCCAGCTTTTAATCAGCCACCTGGAACTTGCCGTCTTCTTTGGGGAAAATAAACCACGGGTCGAGACGGTGATGCCCGCCTTCCCGAGAGCGCCATCGTCACGCATGAAAAGCCCCCGTCCCCCCGTGCCCTGCACCTGGGCAGTTCCGGAGCAGGCCGCAGCTGTGCCGCATTAGTATGCAAAGGGCCTAAATGAAGACTTCAGGCAGAGGAACGACAGGCTGACTAGCGCGTGCCCCGGGAATGTGCAGACGGGGCTGCCATGCGCTCAGACGTTTGGTTAATTCCCCCTTTGTCTGCCGGAGGTAAAATTCGTTTAGAGAAACACTTACTGATGCCGCTGCTAAGCATATCGGCCGGGGGATGGCGGAGGAACCGCACCTGTGATCTGAATGTCGGCCCCTTGGCCTTGTCCTGCTTCCCTTCTCCGCTTTAAACGTTTCTGGGAAGTCACTTTATTTCCTTTGCCTGCATCCAGATTCCCGTCACAATGAGTGCCGTTTGCGACCTGACTCCTTACCTCTCTGGTAGAGGAATGGTGCATTTCCATGACCTCACCAACTCCGTCTCCACACGATAACGGCTTATCATGGCAATCCGATAAGAATCTATCGTTTTTATTAAGTTTGCCAGAACTCTAATGATGCAGATCTGATTATCTGATTATTTTTTCTTTTCTCATTCCACTCTCTGGCATTCCTTTCTCCAAATAAATACTTCATAAAGGGACCCTTTTCTGAGTTGTTTATAAATAATACATCGGACTTTGCGAGAAGTCATATGAATTATTTACAAAATAACTAGGACAAGAGAAAGCGGGCCTCTGACAGCCAAGTGGGGGCCCAGGAGCTGGCATGACATCACCGCAGTCGTGCCTTGGGCGTCAGAGTGGGAAAGACGGGTACAAAACTCAGTGACATTGTACTGCCGCCCGTAAATACACGGGTCCACTGGGGGGGGGGCATGCGGCACACTCTTATCGTAATTAAAGAGCAGGAGCAGGTGTCAGTGCACACTCCTCTTACTTGGGACAACCTTAATGGTTAATCGCTAATAATTAAGAGCCTACAAGGGAGCCATAAAGGTCACTGGTTTTTAATTAGCAGAGCGCAATTTATTACAATGATTAGCTTCTTGGTTTGCTGAAAGAAATATCATTTGTTTGTTAACAGAGGCTAAAAAGAACAGGCGGCGAGAGAGCAGGGGCGTAGCGTCCAGGCTAGCGTTAGCCTTGGTATTAGTGCTAGTATTAGCATTAGCGGCGCTACGTAAACACGGTACACATGGGCTGCTGGCAAACTGGTTACGATGATATGAGGGATGTAGGCATCCATCTTCAGTGACTGTGTGGGTCCTAGAATGCCAAGGGACGCTCTGAATGCGATGCCAGCCCATCACAGGGCACTCGCACACTAGGGTGGTACAATCGCCTGATACCCTGGTATCTTGAAGTATTTTGGTGCCAGCCTTTCAATGCTCCCCACATCAGGCCCAGCATGTAATTAGTTTACTCCACGTCAGTTTCGATGGAGATGTCGCTCCTCAGTGTCGTGGTAATTTCCCTCATGTCTGAGGACTGGCATGGGTAATTAACAGCAGATTGTGCAATATCAGTGGCGTCGCCGACGTGCTTCGCTACCTTGTGAAACGGAGCGAGTAACTCTCCAGTCTCCAGGCACGAAAGGTGCCGCTTTGTGCGGGGAACATCAGCTTAGAGGGCTGAAGCTATCTTCTCGAAATCGCGCCTGACACTTGTCACACTTTTTTTTCTGGCTCCCACCTGGAATCCCAGCCTCTATCAGGCTCTGGGACAGGTCCTCTGCGGCTGGGACATAGGACAGGACAGACGTCCAGCCCAAGGTAGCACAGAGTCACGGGACAGACGCTTCAACCAAAACCCAAAAGAACTTTATTAATGAGATTAAGAGGATTCAGGGTAACAGAACCTCTAATTGTTCAAAAAGGAGGTGCCTAAGAGACCTAGGATGCAAGCAGAGGCCTTTATCTTTGAGCCATCCTGTTGACATGATGTTTCATCCAATCAATTTTAGCTGGAATTCTTTCGCTAGGCTGCCTGGAGACACGTGATTTCTGATTGCCATGGCTAAGGTATAATTCACCCAGCCCCTTACTCCCAAATCCTTAAGGGAGGTGGATAGCCTGAACAACTACAGTGAGGCTGTCCGTGTGTCTGAGCAGGAAGCACATGACCAACACAGCTGTACTGCATGCGACATACGAGGAAAAGCCAAGCTGCAAAGTAATTAAGTGCTGCTTCGGCGCCGCCTTCAGAACATGCTGGTATATCACTGGCACCCGAAGCAGTGCTTGGTTTGGGGTAAAAACACATTGCGATACATTTGTGTTAATTACCTTTCCAGGGATCAATTAGCATTGAGTTTGTTATTGCTGGAGCTCATTTCGCTGAATTGTCCCAGTGTGTTGATTGCACCACAAAGCACCGTCCCTGTCCAGTCATTTATTAGTAACAAACGGCCTTCATTTCAAAGTGGGCATTTTTCTTCTGAGATGCAGTCCCTCTATCTTGCCCCTGGAACAGCACTATTATCCACGGCTGCTGTGAGTGAGAGTTTCCGAGTGTGAACCCAGAACCTGGGGCTTGCTCTCAACCGCGTCTTACATCACTCGCCTATGGCAATGTCACTAGATGTGAGGTCTGTCCTGAAGGCTGCACTGAATGTTGACTTGAAACCAGAGGGTCTCCTAGGCTCGAGGTTGGGGAAGTTCATTGCCAAAGGAGGACCTAATCGTCATGGAACTAGGAATGTGCCCACAAGGAAGGAGACTGGAGCCATATCCTTGAAGGGTTTTAGTCAGAGCTGCCACGACCGATTTGTGGCTGTCAAGGCTTGTGTTAAATCTTGCATTGTGTGGGGCAATCCTGTTCCAAGCCCAAGCTCAGTAAATAAATGCTAATGATACTGATTAAAATGACTGTTAAGTACACAGGGGGGGGGGGGGTGGTAAATGAGATATTTGGAGAAGATTCCCATAGATATTAGGCTCTTGGATGAGGACCAGGTACTGAGAGGAGCTTTTTTGAAGATGGTCTTTCAGTCATGGCCGTTCGATGTGCAGCAGTAGCTGGCGCCGTCCCAGAGTCGTGTCCTACAGGTCGCCCTTCAAAGGCCCCAGTGCCAATGGATGGGGATGCTGGTGGCATCTACATGAACAGCAGGGCCCTGGACCAGCAGCGAGTTGGGCCCCTTGAATGACTGAGAAGAGAGGAAGTAGACGGGATTCTTCCAGACAAGTTTCAGCAGCATCAAGTGGTCAGTGGGTCCCTGAAGCAGGAGACTCTGGCTTGAAAGACTTTGCTCGACACAGTCGTCAACAAAACCTTTGCCGGTCCAACTTGCTTGTTGCCAAAGTTCCAAATTTCCAAAAATATGGAAAAGAAACAGTATAAATTCTCTAAAACAGTGTTTCCCAGTCCGGTCCGTGGGGACATATAGACGGTCCATATCGTTTCTCCCTCCCAGCTCCCTGCTAGTACCAGACCATCTGGGTGTCTCCGAGGATCGAATTGGGAAACATTGTTCTAAGACATCAAATAAGTGTAGTTAAATAGTACTGCAAGTGCAGGCATCAGCCCAAATTAAAATGATTAAAATGACTCTTTGGCCTCACTTAACACAAACACAGACCCACACCATGGAGTTCAGCAGCCCACGTCACAGAACCACGCCTGTTCCACATTTACGTCGGTAAAGGACCATCTCAGAGGGCTGGTTACAGAGAACTGCGGTTAATTTTCCACGAAAGTAAAACACTGTCACGTTAGCATAATTGTAACAAATTGCCTGCAGAGCGCAGGTTAACGCGGCAGCGTCAAGGGTGCATATTAAGCATATTTCCCAGCCGTAGGGCGATACTAATGATTATAGAGCAAACAGGACTTCAGCAGACGTCTCCCTACACCACGCCTTCTCTCGCATCCAATCTCCCAGTGTGAACCGGACATATCGCAGTTGATGGTCTTTGTGTACTCAAAATCGCCCTTTCTTCCCGCTCACTGGGCCCTCGCAGGGAATCCGTCTTTGTTGAGTTGACGATGAAGTCGTGCGTTCTGAAGAGTCTGAAGGCCGTGCGGTGAATGACTAATTTATAAGACACAGCTGAGCGCCTGCCGATCGAATAGGAGAGCAGTAGCTGACGGGACGGTAGCCAAGTGGTCATGTGATGACCTCAATATCCTCCTTGAGGTAGTCCAGCCTCCTTAATGTCTGGAATCGGAAATCCGTAAATCCCAAGTGCTGTCTTTGCACAATCCGGCCGATGCTTATGCAATTCACTGCAAAGGGGTGGCCTTCAATCGCTGGAGATGTCGTGCATGACCCCCTACCTGATAAGGTCTTTCAGCATTCTTTTTTTTTTTATCCATTCTTTACCCCCCCCCCCCTTCGCAGGTGGGCGAAAGGTGGCAGCATCATGAAGGAGGTGTCCGGCGACTCCTACGAGGTTATGGTGGACCACTCCTTCTTCACGGAGCCGGTGTCCTGCGAGGTCACCAACACGCTGGGCAGCACCAATGTCAGCCGGAACGTAGACGTTTACTGTGAGCTGCTGACCGTGACCATCGCTGGTTAGGGGGGGGGTGGGATTGCTGAGTTCCTTACATGAGAAGCATAACTTGACCCGAGCTGCCATGTGTCCCTGAAAGTCGGACCCCATATAGCAGCAGAGCCACAGTCGCTGCAAGTGGACCAGGGTTCGGACGCAGTGTTCAACTGCGCGTGGACCGGCAACCCCTCCCTCACCATCGTCTGGATGAAACGCGGCTCTGGAGTGGTACGTACCTCAGGCCCTCGTCAGCTGGGGGCGATGTGTGTCACCCTGCTTGAACCCTCCCACTCGGGGCCACGAACCAATCAGAAATGTATGACTGGCCTTTAGGAACAGAAAAGCAAATATGGCGATTTCTGCAGATGGGTGTCGATTTATCAGGAACCATTAGATTTGTGCTAAGGAATATGTTAACTACTGTCTTAAGAAAACAAAGCATTTCAATGCGAGTTAAAATCTTTTCATAGGATGATTGCTTTTGTTTTTTCCCGTGAGTCAACTGCGGGTGACATCAAATCAATTGTGTGAAATCTTAGATACACTGAGGGGGTTTGTCTCTCCCTCCCCATGCCCAGTGTGTATGCATGTGTGTGTATGATTTTAAACAGTGTGACTATGCTGGCTGATGTAGGGAACCCAGACAGCGAAGCTTATCATTTATGTTACATGTGTAATTATGGTATGATTTGCATACATTTGCATATACTTTATCAAGGCCATACACCGGGGGGTGGGGGAGGGGTTTGGGGGGGGGGTGGACGTTTGCTCTTAGTGCCAGATTTACAGAACAAATTAGCATGTATTACATTCCATTATTGTATTATTACATTAGCATTCACCATGTCGCTTTGTGGTCACTTCTGTGGCGTCATCCTACACTGGGGATCTGGGTTCGAATGCTATTGTGGCATGTTGGCTGTGTGTGTGTGTGTGTGTTGATCTGAGGAAGTGTATGCTACTGAGGGATAGTTTAGTTTTAGGAAAAAGTGTCTCCAGTGAACTGAAACTGAAATAGACGCATTTTAATCAGCAGGAGTGAGGGAACGCATGTAATGCAACGGTGCGCGATATCTGTGCATGATGCGTCTGTCAAATGAGAAAGGGGGGTCTCCTCTGTAGGGGGGGCTTGTTCCACTGCGTGGCCGGACTGCAGAGCCGCACGGGGCGAGACTGACGCGGTACAGGGGGTGTGCGGTGCCTGGCGCTGGAAGACGGGCGACGTTTCTTACTCTCCCTGTTGTTATGGACTCGTGGCGCAGGTGCTGAGCAACGGCAACATGCTGACCCTGCGGGCCGTGCGTCAGGAGGATGCTGGGAAGTACGTGTGCCGTGCCGTGGTGCCCCGGGTGGGCATGGGCGAGAAGGAGGTCTCCCTCACCGTCAACGGTAAGCCTCCCCCCCCCCCGAAGGCTATGCTTGGCGTTTGGCCTGGGAGAGAGCTGAGAGCTGGGGGCAGCTCTCAGCACAAAGCGGAGGCCTTCTACACTTTTCCTGCACGTTTAGTCTACCGACTTATTACATAAATGCTCAACGTGACAAATATAGGTCACATGGTCCCTGGAAACCAGGTCCTATTTGTTGGACAGAGTGGAACATGGCGGGCGGCAGCCCCCTGAGAGTGGGACGGAGATGGCGGCCTGCTGGAGCCCATTTGAGGGGGGGGCAGGCTTTACTCATCATGGTAGTGAGTGAGCAACTTATCCCAGGTGCCGATAAGCAGGCAAATTATTTTGACCTTCTGTGCTTCCCAAACACTTCCCAGGCAGAGGAGAGCTCTTGTGGGGGGGGGGGGTGCTGAAAGAGAGCAGGGGAGTTGGGGGAGACAAGAGAAACAACAAAAATACGGTTTATCTTCCTTGGATGGACTTGCATATTAGGCACAGGAAATGCGTTTTAGCGCTGATTAAATCAGGAGGAAACGCGGCAGGCTGCAGGCAAGTCTGCGACTGACTAATGAACGGGGGGTGGGGGTGGAGGTGGGGATGGGGGGGGTGACTTCCAGACAAATTACTTCATTATGACGGCTTGATATGCAGGTGGCGTAGGTCCGTGCTGCCACACCGCTCAGCCGGGGGAAATTTACACGTCTTTAAAAGCTTCCTGCATTCATTGGCCTCGAACCCGGGTGAGGGGAGGGTCCCATCGATGTAAATTGCCGCCCCGCTATTTAAATAGATATCCTTAATACGTGTCACTAAACCCACTTAAATCCTGCGGCGTGTGGGCGTTTCGATCGCAGGCATGCGGCGGTAGTCTTTGGGTAGGCCACCCCCCCCACAGTGAAAAACCCATCCCATCAAGCCTCCCCTGGACTCCCACGTGGCCACTTGACCCCCCCCTACGCATTTTCCGTATCCCGTACGGCACCTTTCACATGGAAATGGGGGGTGAATGAGGTGAAGTGGCCACTTACCGCGTCCGCGCTGCCTGTCAAGCTGGTGGTTGTGGGGCTGCGTGTGACGTCGGCTCACGGGACAAACACGGCTCGCACACGCCGCGGACACGGCTCGCACACGCCGCGAACGCGGTGTCGCTCCGCGCCGCCGCTCAGCACTGTAATTAAAACGCGTGTCGCGCTTCTTTCTTCACTGCCAGCTACACAAAAAACAGCAGTATAAATCAGGCCCCGCTTATAAACGCCGGTCGTGTTCTACATCTGAACCGGCGGCGGCTTCCCGGCACAGAGAGGCCCCTTCCTCCCGCAGCGCTGCAGTAAATGGCTCAGATAATGCGCAGTCTTTGTGCTGATGTGTTTTTTTCCCACAATCCTCCGGGGTTTATTAAAAGCCATACTCCCGGTAGGTTTTGTGGATTGTGGATTTTCAGGCCCGGCTTTGATCGCCCTCCGCTCGCCCGGGTCCTAACGGCCCGGCTCGTTTACCGCATTTAAATCACGCCTCGGAATAAACACCCCCCAGCCCCGACAAACACGCGCGGCTTTGAATTAGCATGGCACATGCATCTTCGTGAAGTTATTCTCCTTTGTGCAGTTGCGGGTGTTGCAGGCGGGGGGGAACGCTTTACAGCCACATGTGAAACCATATGCCATACAAGTCACCCCGGATGAAAGAACACACCGTCGGGGCGACAGTCGCGTAATATCGTGGTTGCCATGGCAACCCAGCATACAGATAATGACATCATCTTCTGTATGGGAGGATCAGATGGGGGCCGTATGTATGTTTCTTTTCTCCAGGATAGATAAGCATCCTATGATAAACACCCCCCTCTCCCATGGCTTTTGATATGAGAACAACAGGCTATATCTCCTAGATTTCCGAATCCTGACCTCACCCCCTCCCAAAAACCTCTCCCCCCTCCCCACCCCGCAGCCAGAGGTAAATGCTGTCAGATGAAGCCATCTAATTACACTCCCCATTCACAGATCTGATCTCCAGCCAAGGCTGTTTGGCAGCCTGAGAGGAATTGATCTGGATGTATTTACTGCAGAAAACCCAAGTAATATTATTACAAC